TGAGCCCTCTTGTTCTCCCTAGAGGACAAGCTGTGGCTAAAACCCTACGTGGACCTCCAGGCCTATGAGGATCCTGCACAGGGAGCCTTAGACTTTGCCCAGGAACTGGACCCCGCCTGGCTGATTGTAGACACTGTCATAGGGGAAGGTAAGTCCTGCTGTGACCCCCGCTGTCCCCCCTCTGTGTGGTAGCACATGGCTGCCAGCAGGTTCCTTTCTTCAAGCCCGAGTGCCCAGATGCGCCCATGCCTGCTGTATCCTGCATCCTCCTTGAGCTGCTCTGCCCTGGAGCAGCCTCTGCCTCCCACACACTTGGCTCTGCGGTTATGGGGTTTCTGATAAAGAAGGTTAAACACATCATCATCTCTACCCGTAGAGGTGTCACCGCCATGCCAAGGTGCAGGTTGTTCTCGGATGTTTTCCCCCAAAGTAGGAGAGATTCAGAGCCTCCCCAAGTGAGCATTCCATTCCACCAGGGGCCCAGTGTCCTTGGGCCGCCCCAATCCCCTGGGTCACCAGGGAAAAGAGATCTCAACAGAGAACAAAGCTTGGCAGTGTCCTGGTCAGTGATGCAGCTAAGCCAACACTGCGACCCGGGAGCTCACTCACAGGAAACAGGCAGGCTTCCTGTTACTTGGGCACTAGCCCTGGGCTAGCTTGTCCTTCATAAACGCAGCTCCGTCCCTCTGCATTTACCTAGTACTTGCTTAGCATAAAGTCAAGGAGCATGCTGGCCGTGGCAGGCAGCAGCGACCAGCTCGCAGAGCTTCATGTTGGCTCCAGACTGTTGCTTCTCCAGAGGGGCCTCCCAAGCTCTGTCGTCCTTCCTCAGATTTCCCAGTGAAGAGGAACTGGGACTAGAGGTGTCACTTCCTGCTCATGGGACAGTCTGACTGTGTCAGGCCACACAGCCTTGTTTTCATCCCACCTAGGAGAGTTTGGGGAAGTGTATCGGGGAACCCTGAGACTCCCCAGCCAGGACTGTAAGACTGTGGCCATTAAGACCTTGAAAGACACGTCCCCAGATGGCCAGTGGTGGAATTTCCTCCGAGAGGCGACTATCATGGGCCAGTTCAACCACCCACACATTCTGCGCCTAGAAGGTGTCGTCACAAAAAGTATGCAGTCGTCCCCAGGACCCGGAGTAGAATGTGGGAGGAGGGGGAAGGGAGAAGGGGGGAATGGGATGCCGGGCCTGGGCGTGATGCATGCGCTGTCCTCTCAGGAAAGCCCATCATGATCGTCACAGAGTTTATGGAAAACGGAGCCCTGGATGCCTTTCTGAAGGTGAGGTGGGCAGAGGGCAAGCTCGGAAGGGGTCACACCATGGAGCCCCCCCCATGCCTTGTGGGAGACTCTCCATCCTCTCATGTGTACATTCACCCTACTACAGGAACGGGAGGACCAGCTAGCACCTGGTCAGCTAGTGGCTATGCTGCTGGGCATAGCATCCGGCATGAGCTACCTCAGTGGGCACAATTATGTCCATAGAGACCTGGCTGCCAGGAATATCTTGGTGAATCAGAACTTGTGCTGCAAGGTGTCTGACTTCGGCTTAACCCGCCTCCTGGACGACTTTGACGGCACCTATGAGACCCAGGTCAGAGCCCCATCCACGCTCTACACGTACAGTCATTTAGATGGTCCACACGCGTGTGCGTGCTGGCATGAGACCTGATTCCCGTCCCACGGTTTTGTGCTCATCCGTGCCCTGAAACGTCACCCTCCTGTGCCACGCCTTCTTAGGGAGGGAAGATCCCCATCCGTTGGACAGCCCCGGAAGCTATTGCCCATCGGATCTTCACCACGGCCAGCGATGTCTGGAGCTTTGGGATTGTCATGTGGGAGATGCTGAGCTTTGGTGACAAGCCCTACGGGGAGATGAGCAATCAGGAGGTGACCGTTTCCCCATGTCAGACCTGACACGCCTCCTGTCTCTTCTGAATTCCTCAACGCGGTCTTTTCCTATAATTATTTCTTTCCAACTCTTAATTTTTGGGCAATATTTCCTGTGGTCCCTTCTCCATTACTTCTTTGTTCAGGGTTGCGTAGAGCCCAATAACTTTGTGTGATTTCCTAGCGGATGTAGCTTCTTGCCTAGGCCTCTCTCCCTGTCTCCTGCTACAGGTAATGAAAAGCATCGAAGATGGGTACCGGTTGCCCCCTCCTGTGGACTGCCCTGCCCCTCTATACGAACTCATGAAGAACTGCTGGGCTTATGACCGGGCCCGCCGGCCTCACTTCCTCCAGCTGCAGGCACATCTGGAACAGTTGCTCACTGACCCCCATTCCCTAAGGACCATTGCTAACTTTGACCCCAGGTAAGTATGTTCAGAAATGACGGGAGTTCGGAGGTCAAATCTGAAAAAAGTAAAAATTCCATCGTATCCACTGAGTGCTGGTCCTGGGATCTTGGGACAGAATCCAGCATGAGACAGAACCCAGTCCGCGCCCTCTGAGAAAGCCCAGGGTAATAGAGGTAGGCTCCCATCTATCATGAATTTTTAAAGGCTCTAGCCAGGTGGTGGTGGTGGTGGTGCACACCTTAATCCCAGCACTCAAGAGGCAAAGACAGGCAGATCTCTTGTGTTTGAGACCAACCTGGTCTACAGAGCTAGTTCCAGGACAGCCTTCAAAGCCACAGAGAAACCCTGTCTCAAAGCAAACAAACAACATAAAAAGAGTTAGCGCTAGATCACCCACCTCACTCTATTTCCCCTGGAATCTTTAGAGTCACTTTTGATTGTTACCCCCACTATGTTACATTATGACTAGGACCCCCAACTCTGGTGTTCCTGAGACTTGTTATATTATTTTACATTGTTACTATGTTACATTATGACTAGGACCCCCAACTCTGGTGTTCCTGAGACTTGTTATATTATTTTACATAGTTACTATGTTACATTATGACTAGGACCCTCAACTCTGGTGTTCCTGAGACTTGTTATATTATTTTACATTGTTACTATGTTACATTATGACTAGGACCCCCAACTCTGGTGTTCCTGAGACTTGTTATATTATTTTACATAGTTACTATGTTACATTATGACTAGGACCCCCAACTCTGGTGTTCCTGAGACTTGTTATATTATTTTACATTGTTACCATGTTACATTATGTCTAGGACTCCCAACTCTGGTGTTCCTGAGACTTGGGATACTTTTTCTTTCCATATATATATATATATATTTGCATGTGGGGGAAAAGATTCACAGATCTAACAAGTCTTGGAGGGCCTACTGGTACAAGCTCTTTGCGGAAGCCTGGTGCCTGCTCCTGAGCGCTTAGGCAGCTAGGTTGGGGTAGGCACAGGAGGCGGTCTGAGAACACCTCTGACGGCTTGGGCAGTCTGGAAGGAGCTGAGGAATAACAGATCACAGCCAGTACAGAATGGTGACAGCATCCAGGGCAGAGCCAGCAGCCCTGTGAGTGGGGAAGCAGCAGCAGAGATTCGTACAGAGGACCAGCCCTGCTGAGAAGGGAGGACTCTGAGAACAAGAAAATGTTGACCAGTTTCCCCAAATTGTATTTTATCAAAAACATGATCAGAATGTAGAGAATGGAGTAGAAGGAGGGGGTCGAGCCAGGCAAGGCTGGACTTCGGCTGCTTTATCGGGTAAGACAGCCTGGTGTGCTGGCCTCTGTATCAAACCCACCATATATAACCTTGTTTCTGGGAGAGACCGTTTTCCATGTTCCAACTTTCGAGACTATCTTTTGGAGCACAACTCCCTCAGACTCTGGAGACTGCATGTGCTAATCTTTCTGGAATGCTGGATATTTTTCCCCCAGCAGATTTACTTTGCTAATGGTTTTTGGCTCTGTCTGGCTTTCCTACAGGAACACTCATTGTATTGTGGCTATCAGAGTGTAAGAATAACAGTTGGCGGGTTAATATGGCAAGCGAGGGTTGCTCCTAGGTGGCCATCTTAAGAAAAAAAACGCGAGATAGCATCTTGCTGTTGTTTTGACTTATCTTAGTCAGGATGCATTCGTGTCTAACGGGCTGGGAATTCTTCACTAGGGATGCCCATAGCATCCACATTCCCCAGATCTACCCACCGAACAGGTCAGTCAGCTGCCCACCTGATGCTCCGAGGGGAGCATCGCCAGGAAACAGGTCAGGAAGGAGGCTCGGGTAACAGCCAGTTTATGTGCAGAGCCGCTTAGAGAGCTATATACAAGCTCAGATTGAGTGCTGGCTAAGATGTGGCCGCCCAGGCCAACCAGGTTCCTGTACTCCGGCGGGGACAAACGTGCCATCGAATCCCACAGGGTGACCCTCCGCCTGCCCAGCCTAAGTGGCTCTGATGGGATCCCTTACCGAAGTGTCTCTGAGTGGCTTGAGTCCATACGCATGAAGCGTTACGTCCTCAACTTCCACTCGGCTGGGCTGGACACCATGGAGTGTGTGCTGGAGCTGACGACTGAGTGAGGACTCTGGGGCCAGGCAGCCCGGGCATGGGAGGGTGACTGAGGTCTAAGAAGCCTCTAGATACAAGGCCTCCCTTCTCTCTTCCACAGGGACCTGACGCAGATGGGAATCACATTGCCGGGGCACCAGAAACGCATTCTCTGCAGTATTCAAGGATTTAAGGACTGAGTGGCCACTGAGAAGATGTTTCATCCCCCTGCCCCCTCCTCGAGCAAGGACAGGGCTGAGGTCACTCCCTGGACCTTTCCCCAGTCTACAAGATGTAGGCTATTGGTGCTGCTCCTGCCCATTCAATCAGGACTTGGCCTTTGGCTCAAGGAGCCTTTGTTTATAAAAGAGAGATGCAAGTGAAGGGGATTGTGGGTGGGTGACGGGGGACGGTTTAATATATACACATATATATATATGTACTTACATATGCATTATCTATTTTTGTAAATAAACAGGAGTTGAGTTTTCATCCCTACCCACGATCTCCCCGACCCCACCCCCCACATTGATTCCTTCTATTTCAACCCCGGTAGTTGAGGTATTAATCAAAGAAGCAAGTACTAGCACATCTGGAAAACGAGGTTTTATAATTTTAGCAGCACAGGGCAAGGTGGGTGTCCAGGCTGCTGGAGCCAGGCTCCTGGAGGGTTCAGGGCTCTCCCACCCGCACTCAGCAAGCACACTGCATGGGCTCAGGCCAGCCAAGGGCATTGGTGCAGCAGTGAAAGCAGCAGCACTAAGTGTGACCCTCGGGTTGGGGACCTCGGGACCATAGGCAATCCCTGTAAGAGAGAGAGGCAAGGGGCGGAGCCAGGGGCTGGGCCTCATCACCAGGACGGAGCCTCAGCACTTCTGGGTCGTGCTGAGGCCCTGGGTCAGGGCACTTGAGATACTGGGGAGGGGTTTGGAATGCAGGGACGGTAGAGGCAAGGATTGGTCTCGGTGTGGGTGGTCCACGGTGGGGAAGGGACCTGTAGTCTGGGAGGAGGCCCATCCTCAACTCTGGGCTCTAGCAGTGTGGCACTTCCGACAAAGGACGTGGCCGTCCAGAGGGAAACAGCCGTTGTCATCTGCCTCAATGGACAGGGCCTTCCCACAGTCCTGGAAAGGAGAAAGGGTAAGGAGGTCACCGCCATGAAGGTTCCGACTCCACCCTACTGTACTACAGACCAAGTGTTGCCTAGGCTTGGGGTTGGCATTCTGGCCCTGCATGCCTCCCTGACCACGCTACCACTCCTGCTCCTTACCTGCTGGAAAGGAGGGGACAGGCAGCACCCAGGGAACACACCACCTGAAGACCTGAAGTCCCACTACAGGTTTGGAGCCTACGCCATCCTCCCCCAACTCCATTCTGACTGTTTCTCACTGCTGCAATCTCCGGAGACACCCCTAACCCAGAACACACACACACACACACACACACACACACACGCACGCACGCACGCACGCACGCACACACACACACAAACAAGCAAACCCACTCCATCCCCACCCGTTGGGAAGTCCTTTAGCTTATTCCAAGGCTCAAAGTGACCTCTTGCAAGACAGGAGGGGCGACTGACCTCACACTTGTAACACTTCATATGGAAGTTCTTGTCCAGAGCGACTACTCGTACGGTCTCATCTTTGCCAGGCTCAGGCATGATGGGCTCCGAGCACACGGAGCACCTTGGAGCATATTGCCTAGGGGGGAAGGGGGGGTCAGAAAGCAGGTTCAGAGAGGGTTCAGTGGATCCAGGCACCTCGGGCTCTCGGCCCCTAGCAGGGCACAGGGTAAGGAGGCGTAGATCGGGTGGCCGCAGGGAAACACCTTTGTATCCCACACGTCCGGGTGGAGCAAGTTCATGAGAAAGGTCAAAGGACCGAGTGGCGCACACAGCAGGCTCTTATCAAGGGGAATTTCCTGCCTCTCCGCTTACACAATGCTCCGTCTCCCACACCTCTGCCATAGGTGTTCCTTCCCACACCCTCGCCCCGCCCACGTTACCGCCCGGCGGGAACCCCAAAGGGGGACAGAAGACACCACCCTCTGCAATGTGCATACCTCCAGTCTTGGGAGGGTGCACCCAGAGAAAGCAGAGGGACCAGGGATCCCAGTCACCCACACAAAATCCCCCAAACAGTATCCCCCAGGCCTACTGTCCACGGTGGGGAGAGACTTCACTCTTCCCATCCTACAGCTATGCTGGTACTTTGCCTGCCAGCCTAGGACTTCTGCTATACGTCTAGGGAGAAGCCAGTACACCGAGCAGCTGAGCTCCAAAGGAACCCTGAGAACCCAGCCTGCGTGTGAGCACAGCCACTCCGGGACCAGCTGCTGAACAAACGCACACCCCAAGGAGCCCGAGGGAGCTGCCAAGGCTAACGTGAAAGCAGCCTAGGTGGCCAGCAAGCAAGACCTACGGTATGGTGCGTTGCTGACCCGGGGCCAGGTAGCAGCCTGGTTACCAGACTAAACATGGATGGACATGGTGGGGGGCAGGGGGCGGGGGCGATGATAGGTGCTCACTTGTGATAGTCAGGGACACAGTGGGGTTGGTTGTCCTGGTCCACAATGAAGGAGGTGCCCTCCAGGGGGCAGGCACAGACCACGCAGGTGAAGCAACGCGGGTGGTAGGCTTTGCCGGTGGCCCTCAGCATGCGGTCCGTGATGGGCTGCCCACAGGTGTTGCACTTCTCCAGGGTCTCCTGGGGGGGGAGACAAGCCGAGCGGCTTGTGAGGGGACCCCCAAGGCATACCTTCCCAGGGCTCACGACCAGCCCCGCCACAGCCAGGCAAGCCCCGCAGCGGGCAGACTTACGGTGTAGCAGCCCTCGCAATACGGCACCCCTTCCAGGCTGTAGAACTGCCCGCCCTGCAGCTGCGCCTGACACTGATGGCAGGTGAAGCAGGTGATATGGAACAGCTGTCCCAGTGCACGGACGGCAGGCTGGGCGCGGGGCAGCGGCTGGTGGCACCGGCCACAGGACTCTGGGGAGATCAAAGTATTTCATCTCAGCAAGAAGGACAGAAGAGGGGCTGGAGAGATGGCTCGATGGTTAAGAGCATGGGCTGCTCTTCCAGAGGTCCTGAGTTCAATTCCCAGCAACCACATGGTGGCTCACAGCCATCTACAATGAGATCTGGCGCCCTCTTCTGGCCTGCGGGCATACATGCAGGCAGAACACTATATACATGATGAATAAATCTTTAAAAATAAAATAAACCTAAAAAAAAAAAAAAGACAGAAGAGGCCAAGAGCTCTTGGAAGTTCATGCCCAGGGAAGGTGGGCGGTGGACTCACCGTTCACCGACGCACTCTGCTGCCGTGTCTCCCTCTGAGGGTTATCCATGTCGTGCATCAGCTGCTGGGTCAGCTGTTCCAACTCCTCCACCTCCTTGAGGGTCAAGGGTCCCGGTCCTCCAGGAGAGCGCACCTAAAAACCCCAACGCTTTTTTCATATCCCCCAACTCCTCCCAGATGGGCCAGTGACCCTTCCTCACATGAAGACTCAAGCTCACACCTCCTTCCCTTGACATTAGGACTCTTCAAGCTCCTCCCTGCCGTGACCCCCAGCACCACACATGCAAACACAGAGAGGGGCGAGGCTGACCTTAGCCTCTGTCTCCAACAGTGGGACATCTTCACCTGCACAGGCCAAACCCTCACAGTCCCAGGCACTCAAGACAGACCAGAACAACTGAGCAATGGGAACCACACACACAGCAGTTCACGTCACTGAAGCACCCAGAACGCCAGGGCCACACACCAACTTCACAGAGCATGCTCAGACAGTACCTCCCAAGGCCCAGACAAGTGCTACACCATTAGTACACACACACACACACACACACACACACACACACACACACACACACACACACACACACACACACCCGCTGCTGAGCAGCCCCTGTGAGCATGAAGATGCCACAAGGCTGGAGCACAGGTTAGACCCTCAAAAGCTGTCTGCAGGAGCCCACCCTCCTTCAGACAATCTGAGTTTGTTCCCAAGTAAGGGGCGGCTGAGTGAGGGTTTTATAGTCCACCTGATCCCTGTCCTTCCCCTTAGCAAGTCTCAGGGGAGATCCAAAGGCCTGTTCCTAACCCAGCCCATTCCTCCTATGCAGAGGACCTTGGGGGCTAAGGACTGGAGAGGGAAGGGTGTCCTAGTGCAGGGACGAGGCACTTCAGAAACCTGGAAACTTAAGGGCTGTCTGACCCAAACCAGCCTGACCCTGAGACACTCCCGAGAACTCTGGATGGGGCCGGGTTAAGTCCACCCAGGACACTGGGGCCCTAAGACCTGCTGATGCCTTCACCCCACCAGCCCCTGGAGCTCCTCACTGTCTCCTTCTCCAACCCCAGGCCACACCTTCCCAAGGGAAACACAGAAGGCACACTCCCCCTGCCTGACCTTAGCCGCTTTCCCTAAGATGGACTCCTTCGGTCTGCTACTCTTAACGAATGGGGAGGGGGGTCCCCGGATGCAAGCTTCCCCTCTGTGCTCTTCCAGGATGCCCATCCCTGCACTCTGAGGACAGGGAAACGGACTCTGCTCATCGTTGCTCCTATACTATAAATGGCTGTTCCCGCACTGGAAGGATAAACTGTTTGACCACACTCCTCCTGTGGGTGCCCGTGTCCTTCCTGCAGGACACTATCAGCGGCTGCCTCCTCCTGCCTGCCAGCAGCCACGTCACTGTTCAGCTCCCGCAGCCTCAAAATCCTCATCTCCAGTACCTTCCACCTCGAGGCATCTTGGACCTGCGACTGATCAGCTCTTTGCCCCCCCAAGATCCTTCCCAGCTGTTCCCACCCCTCTCCTCGACACCCACACTGCTGACAGACAGCCTAGCAGAAGGGCTTAAGTGTCCTACCTAGGCTTCAACCTGTCCCCGAGCCTTGTCAATCAAGTCCCTAGACCGGCTTCTTCCCTAACGCTTTCTACAAAGGCCTTTTCTACCACCCCGAGGCTATCTGACCCAATCTCTAACCCTGGGCCACACCACTACCTGTTTCCTGTTTCTGCCTCCACCCCGCAGAAAGTAGGTGGAGGGATGCTGAACACTGGGGAGCACCCAAAAGGAGCACCCACCACACCCGCCACACCCTCCAGCCCCGGCTTCTCTGTCTGGTGTTCGGCTCTGCCAGATCCCCAGTTGCCTTCCCCACAGCAGCTGTTCCAAAACCTTTCTCCATCTCCCTGAGCCCCCAACTGCTTGGCCCCCTCCCTCGCACTCACCGATGACCTCACCCCTCAAATGCCTGGAAGCTAGCCAGTTTAACTTCCCCCATCCTTCTTTCTTTCCAGCCAAACACTGTGTCACCCTGTCCTTGGTCCTTCCAGGGCCTCTGAGGTCAACTGCTGCTCTCAGAGATCTCTGGCCTCTTTTCCCTGCTGGCTTCTGCCTCCTGGTTGAAACACATACCTGGACTCTCCTCCCCTAACTCAAAAAACCCCTAACACACACAGACACACATACATCAAACACATACACACAGACACAGACAAAACACACACACACACACACACACACACACACACACAGAGACTGAGACGGAGACTGTGCAGTATGACTTGAATTCATGGCAATCCTCGTGTCTCAACTTCCCATGTGCTGTGACTTACAGGCCACCATACTCAACCTCACCTCCAAACTTTGAGATCAGGCTACACTACCAGCTTCCATGTTTCCACCAACTGTTCACTCAACTTGGCCACCACCATAAGACACAAACAGTCCCAGGGTCATCTGTACGCAGTCCTAAGAGTCAAATCTCTGCATATCTGTGTCCTCTTCCCTAAGGCAACAATGGAGATCCCCCAAGGTCACCTCGACTGACTACTTCTACGGATCCCATCCTGGAGTTTTTCCTCCATTCCTTTTTCATGACCCAAGGTTCCCGAGGCCTTTAACTTCCTGCTGCGGAGTTCCCGGAAGACTTGTCAGCTACCCATGGTGCCTAAGGTTCTGCGCACACCTCTAGCTTGAGGCATGCCCCTGCATTACAGTTCTACAGTAGCCGAGTGACAAGTCCAGCTGAAAGCCAAGCGCGCCTGAAGTTTGTTGCTCAACACGCTGACAGCTGGACCCCTCCTCTTCCCGTTCAAACCATTTCGCCATCTGTACTTCTCTATTTCGCCCGTGCTATTGCTATTCCCCAACATACCCAGGCCTGAGCCTTCCTGGCGTCTGCGCTCCCCTACCCCAGCTGCTCATCAGTTACCTTTTTCTGTAGCTTCTCCCTTTGGAACAGCTTCTCCCTCACCCGTGAGTCCTATTTCTCACTGCAACGACTACTGCTGTGGCCCACAAGTGAGCCCTCCGCCCAATCACAGACCTCTCTGCCTCTAATAGGCATCTCGGCTGGAGACACTGCAGAAAGCTTCCAGAGTGTTACTTCCAGCAGTCCAACTACTGAGCAACCCTGGGTGACTCTCTAGTGCGCACAAGCTCCCTGTGGGAGATTTCTTACCTAGTCCTTCTACCCCCCACCAATCTCAAGTACAGCTCAAAGTTTTTCCCATAGGAACCTTCTGCTTTCTGTTCTCCAGCAGCCCACCCCCCCTCCCCACCCCCTCCCTTCCTCTACCTCATGTGTGCTCATACCCTTGAGTTCTGCACAGGCTATTCCTCCCTAAGTGCTATTTCCAGTCCTTTCAGGGTTCTTACGTCCTCAAAGACTCGAAGGCAGACAGACCGACCTCATGAAGTTGTCCCTAACTTGCCAGTCCCCATGTTGGGTCCCAGCTTCACACCCGGGTAACCTCAAAGACACGGAAGGGAAGTCAGCCACACTTCTTCACACACACCGAGTCTGAGTACGCACAGGCATTCACGGTCAATCGATCGGTCAGACAACCACCGGGTCCCTTCAGGAGATCTCGTCTCCCGAGCTAACAGACAACGGCGCTGTCCGTTTCTATTTTGAGCCTTCATGTGCTAGACAGAGAAGACAAGTTCTCTTGCTGTTGACCACCAGTGTTTGTGGTGGGTGGTTATTTCAAGGACAGTTAAAAAAGAAGAAAGAAAAAAAAAGGCTCAAAGTTCACCCAACTTGACTAGGGTCTGAAACAGCTTGTGGGGAAACGGGCTGGAAACTCTACCCCAGGCCTATGAATTCGGAAAGCTGAGCCGCCTGTTTGAGAGTCCTCTCCTGCCCGGTGTCCCAGTCTGCACGGCACAGTCCCTGACACTCAGCTGACACCGGCCCATAGGTGTGTACTGGTGCTGACTATGACACTTTGATCTCTAGATGCGCCCTCCGGCAAAGTGCTCAGAAAGCTAGCAGCCTCGGGACTAAGTCAAGGAAGGCCCAAGAACAGGAAAAGGTAAGGCTGGGCTAGTGATCTCATTCTCCCCTTTAACATTCTGGGGCAGAGGTGCAAAGTTGCATCCTCTTAATTCTAAGCACCCTGCTGCTCTGCCTACTGACCCAGGCTAGTTAGGCTTCCTCCAGACAGACTTTCTGTTAACCCCACACTTCCCCCGCTGCCACACCCATTCTGGCTCCCCTGATCCTCTATCCCACCCTAACCCTTTCTTCCGTAGCCCCAACTCCAGCCCGTGGCCACAGCTGTGCCTTCCTCACCTGGTTTTGGTTTTGGTTCTGAGCTGGAGGCGCTGGGTGCTGCTTCTCTTGAACTAAGGGCTTCTCTTTGTGCTGAGCATAGGTGAAGCTTGGGGGCTGAGGGGACCCTGTGGCCGCAGAAGAGGGAGCCTCTGGAGGCACTAATTTTTGATTGGGCTGGGACCCGGGTGCACTCGGAGTGCTGGGGCTGAACTTGGAAGCCGGGGGAGTAAATCTGGGAGCCCCTGGAGCAAACTTAGGCGCTGGAGTTGGAGCCTGAGAAAGGAGACCTCGGGGCTGTGCATTAGTGGGAGGCGTGGGCTGGAACTGGACGGGGGGCTTGGCCTGAGGTTGGACATGGAACTGGACCTGAGGCTTGGCCTGCGGCTGAGGTGGTGGCTGGGAGTTGGAAGGGGTCTTCCAAGGAGGCAAAGGTGCTGTGCCCCCAGGGACGGGCTTGGTACTAGGCTTGGGGATAAATGGGGTGGCAACCGGTGGGGCTACGTATCCAGATGATACCTGCAAAGGGAAACGGGGGTTGGGGGGAAGAAACGCACTTAGAGAAGGCTGTCACCCCACCTCCTTACGTCCCCTCCTCTCCTTCCGGGCCCCAGTCTCTTCTAATCACTATCCTGCCCCTTACCCGGGCCTTGAAGGGATCATTCTTGGTCATGTCATCCAGCAGTGAGGACAGAGAGTCGATCTCCAGGTCAATACTGCTCACTTTCTCCCTGGGCTGGAGGGTCAGGGGTCAGGACACCCATCCCAGTCAGGCCTCGTCATCCCAATCCCATCGGGGGAGAGTAAAGACCCCTCTCCACTCCGCGGAGGTGTCCCCCCCATCCCCGCCTCCCAAAGCCCTCCAAAGCCTCCCTACCTGAGATGGGAGCTGGGTGGGGGGCTCGGGCCCTCCCTCCTCTTCCAGGGGAGGTGGAGGGGAGGGGAAGATGTCCTCCTCCAGAGGCGCAGGGGGGAATGGTTCGTCGATCATCGGGGGAGGCGGAGGTGGGAACGCACCACCTCCCAGGGCACCCTCCGAGTCGTCGCCGTCCCCAATAAGGGGAGGAGGGGGCAAAGGAAAGTCTAGGTAGGAAGGGAGAGAGGAGGCTCTCAGCGCCGGCCCTCTCTCCTCCTCTCCCCCACCCCACCCCGATCCCAGAACTCTTTTCCCGCATCCCAGAGTGTGTGCAAGACCATAACGAGGAGCTCAGGACGCCCTGAGACTCAAAGCAGGTCGAGAAAGGCCGGGGATCGAGCCGAGGAACCATGCAGCTCCCGTTACACTTCAGGAGAACGGATCCAAAAGGGAAGATTCCCGGCCCACATTCCCGCCTCCCCCCCCGCCCCCCCACCCCACCCCACCCCAGGCGGGAGGCTTGGAACCGTCCCAAGGGTCCTGGCTCCCAGCCAGGAGCTCCAAGATGAGGTAAGAACATCTGCTCAGGACAGGGTGGCTGCGCCCAGCCCCCCTCACTTTCGCAACAGCCCTTTCCAGGACACCAGCCTCCCCCATCCCCCAGATTCCCCTCCCCAAAAAGCCTCCACCCCTCCCCAAAGCCCAGCCGCATACCTTCGGGGGGCGGCGGGGGGATCTCTCCCACCCGGCCCATCTGCGCACGCTGGGCCCCGGCTGCCACCGAAGAAGAAGGCTCGCTGTCCCCAGGCCGGAAAGGATTCACTTTGGGCTTCGGTGCCACCACCGGGGCGAACTTCTTCTGCGGGGCGTAAAAGGCCGGAGCCGACACCGAGACGGAGACCGAGACGGCCGGAGGCGGGCGGGGGGGCCGCCATGGCCAGGCCGGGCGGCTGCTGCTGCTGCTGCTGCTGCTGCTGCTGCTGCGGGGAGCGTGTGGGTCGTCGGGTCACGCGGCGCCGCGCTGGACTGGACCCCCACCCCCCCTAGGTGACCCCCACCCCGCGCCTCCCAGAGTCCCCACACCCTGGGGCGGCCGAGCGGCTGCGGCTTCCCCGCCCCACCCCCGGCGTCCTCACCGCGGGCAGGAGCGTGAGCGCCGCCGCGTCCCGGGTGACCGCTCGGCGCCGAGTCCTCCGCGGACTCCCGCGTCCCGGTCCGGAGCAGCCTCTAGCCAGGCAGGGAAGGGGCGGGACGGGGAGGGGCGGGGACGGGGAGGGGACGGGGACCTGGACCGGGAAGGGAGGGAGGGAGGGGGGCGGGGAGAGCGATCGCGGCGCCCAAGACCATACAAGGAGCGGCCCGGAGAGGGGGCGGGGAGAGGGCCCCGGGGAGGGCGGACTGGGCAGGGAAACTCCCCCAGGAAGGGGCCCGGGTCCTGACCCCCCCCGGGGGCGGCGGGGGGTTAGGGGTGAGGTCTCCGGGCTTGGCGAGCGGTCTCTGCCACTCGCCCCCGCCCCCGCCCCCGCCGGGCACCGGACCACCCTTTCCCCCAGCACAGGCCTCTGATGTCATTTCCTGACCTGCCACCTACCCCACACCCCCCCCCCCACTCACACACACCCCTCCGCCCGACCCCGCGGGTGCTCGGCGTCTGACTCACCGTCCCCGCTCTAGGCTGAGCCGGCCGGCCGGCCGCTACCCCAGAGGTCCCGGAAAGAACTCAACCCCACTCCCTCCCATCCTCCTCCTCCTCCCCGGGCCTGCCGGCCTGCCTGCCTGCCTGCCTGCCAGTGGCCGAGCCCCGCCACCCAACCCCCTGCAGCAGCTCCAGCTCCGCGTCCCACGGGTCCTGGGGTCAGTCCGGGGATCGCGGGGCCGCTGGCGCGGGACCCTGCTCCTGGGTGGGCAGGGAGGCTATGCGTATAAAAGGGGGCCGCTCGCCCTGCTGGCACCCGGCTCCCAGCCGGGCCTTGTGCAGCCCGCGAGTGTGTGAGCAGGAGCCTGAGCGCTCTTGCTGCGGGTGGGGGAGATAGAGGGAGTAAGGGGTGGGGGGTGGGATGCTAACTTCCAAAACTAGGCAGCCCTCCTGAGGCTTCTAGGAATCCAGCACGGGCAGCCGCAGACCCAGCCTGCAAATCTGTCGCCCCAGGGGGAGAGGAGACTGATGGTTCTGACTCTTAGAAGTCGGAGGCGCAAAGGAGGGCTCGGTCTGGGCGAGGACGCTCACGGGACTGACAACCTAGGAAGACCCAAGTACTAGCGCCCCTCCCACTCGTGACCAGTCCTTGAGGGTCCTTCCGCAAACCCTCCCCAGTGGGATGTCAGCGGCTCCCCCCGTGAAGCTCGGTGGAGCCCCCCACTGGCCCAACCGGATTCCTCAGCCCGAGACTGTGCCGCAGGCTACGCGAAAGATCTGACAGATCTTTCTTATCTGCCTAACTCCTTCCTTCCCTTCTTTCTTTTTTCTTTTTGTAAAATTACACACGGAAACTTCTTGCGCTACGTTCACTACGTCCTAATTACAGAGTCGTGAGTTCGGGCCTCAAGTCCAGTATCCCCACCACCACCACCCCACCCCACCACCACCACCCCAAACCCGATGCTTCCTTTAGTTTTACCCCGTAATCCCTGACTGATGTCTGGGGCACTCCTAACACTCAACACTTCGGAGTTTCCAACTCTTGGTGCGCCCAGTCTGCTGCATCCTGTTGCTGGGCTATGTTTTTGGGGGAATGCTAACTAATACCATGAATTTTGGATGAGGAAAAAAAAAAGAGGGTGTTAACCTGAAGAGATGGCCCCCTAAGGGCTAATTCAGGTCAGAGTTAATTAGCCCCCTTGGCAAAGAGTGAATGCAGAGAAAAGCCAGGGAGCCCAATTTTGTACCCGACAGACAAGTTTCGTCATTCATTCGGTTTCATTGCCTGCATCTGTAAAAGGGATGGTTTTTAATTCATTTGCCTGCTGATTTATGTGAAGAAATAAATAACATGTCATGCCTGAAATTTTTATATGGTTCTCAGTACTACCTACCATGCAAGTCCCAGGCTGGCTGAGAACGGAAATTCCCAGCCAGTTAACCTAGGCAGCTTTCCCCCACAAGCTCCCTTCCAGTTTGCCAGACAGGTCTAATGTGTCCTGGTACATCCCTTCCCTTCCTCAACCTTAAGTCTTGACTCATATCTGTGACTATACATTCATCATCTTTCCAGGCCCCACAAGTCTCCCTTTTCTCTGTCATCTTAATGTATCCACCAACAATATTTTGCACACACTTTAACATGTATAAGCTGGTCCCAGGCCTGTCCCTATGATGATCTGTTAGAAATTTTATATTGAATTTATTCTGCACACTGGAGATTGTTTCTTGGGCTTTGGGGACCAAGAGTCATCACCGTCCTTCCAAATATGCCCATGTGGGGAATTGGAGACAGTTTCCAGACAACTTTATAAGAGTAAAAGCCACCTACCCTCTCAAAGCCTCCTTGAGGAACATCGAAAAATAGAGTATGTGTAATTGTTGGCAGCTGAACCTATTTATAAATCAAGAATAGGAGAGTGTGTAGGCAGACCCAATTTCACAAACAACTAAGAGCATTCCGGATGCAGAATATTAGAGCTAGGAGCCTTAAGCCAGCCATTCTAGATGCAAATTAGAAGCAAAGCCAAATTTCCCAAAGGGTCAGAATGACTGGCCCAGGATGTCTCAGGTAGAAGTTATAGTCAATGCTATTAAAACACAGACAACAAGCCGGGCGTTGGTGGCGCACGCCTTTAATCCCAGCACTCAGGAGGCAGAGGCAGGCGGATCTCTGTGAGTTCGAGGCCAGCCTGGTCTACAGAGTGAGTTCCAGGACAGCCTCCAAAGCCACAGAGAAACCTTGTCTCGAAAAACCAAAATAAAACCTAATGATTCTTGGTTGCCTTCCTTAAGCTAGCAATTGTATTTGATGTTCTTGGGTAGTATGAGCTATGTGTAAGAAATCAGTTAATGTCTCCACTTCAAGCATGTCCCAGGCCAGGAAAAGAAAACAAGAAAATAGTCACTGACCTTGGCTACTAAAATATCCCTACACACTTCCAAGGCTTTCTATGCACCAGGTATGAGAAAGTATCCCATCCCCCAAAGTTATACAGCACAAAGTATGTCACTCAACACATTCATGGAAGAAACAGCGACTAAAGAAATAGTGACCAAAGAAAGAATTCCAAAGCAAAGCCAGAGATGTTACCAGAAGTTTTCTTCTATATGCTGGCTGCGGGCAGACAAAAGAGTAATGATATGACGCCGTACAACCTTAAGCATCAGTGTACTGCTGAAACATTAACAATGACTGCCATCATTGCTCACACTCCACAGGACAGGTGCACAGGTGCAGGCAGCTCAATGGTACAGTGCCTGCCTAGCATGCTTGACACCTTGGGCTTGATCTCCAGCGACACACATATGTGCACGAACACAAATACACACACACACACACACACACACACACGTGTTCTGCATTTGTAAGTTGTTACGTTAGATAGCAATCTATGTTGCCAAGAGGTTTCTTAGGATCGTTAACATTAGTTGTTAGCTTTTGGGACTAGAATCAGGGATGGCAAAAGGCTCTGATGATGGTTGCATTTCCCCCGTGAAGGCGAATTGCTTCCATGAGCTAAGAAATAGAAGGGAGGAGAGGCGTGAAATCTACCCCGTCTCTCTGCTTTTGCGGAGGGCTGTCCTTGCACCGAGCGCTGCATACATGGAGCCTATGGCTTCCCGCTCGCAGCAGAGTGTGCTGTTCCCCTGCTCCCAGGGGTACTTGCTTGTCAGTATAAAAGGCTCTTGGACTTGAGAATGGTGATGGGCTATGAGACGAAGGTGGAGCCTTGTGGCCAGGGCCCCAGCCAATCAGGTTCAGCTTCCCCTCCTCCAATGGGAGGACAGGACTTACAACTACAATGCCATTGGACCTCTGTTCTTCCAGGTCGGCTCAAATGGATGATGCCATAGCTTCCTCCCACGTGCACTTTCTCTTCCTCTTCCTCAACCCAGGTCAACCCATGTTTTCAAGTAACTTCCATATTCTAGACAGCCCGGTCCTTGCTCTCAGAGGAGAAAAAAAATACAGTTACGTTGTTTGTTTGCTTTTTAAGTCATCTACTCCATAGCGCTTTCTAAGCGAGGAGACATAACAACAGCCGGTTGGCCTTCTCAGCTATAACCTCTATCATGATTCCATCAGACCTGAAGGAGCAGTGAGTGGACTACAGCGCCAGAGGAGACGAGTCTGCAGAAGTCAGAGGAGCAGTGGCAGCCAGAGAGACCTCTACTCTTAGCGCCGGGCCAGATGGGCACCCAAAAGCATTGCAAGCCTCAGTTCACAAATGTGGAGGCCAGGGAAAGCAGATGGTCAAACGACAAAGAGTCAGCACTCACAGGAGCTCTGAAGGGAGGGCAGACAGGAAAAGAGGCCCGGGGCACCCTCAGCAACACAGGCAGATTGTTGGCACCGAGGCTACCGGTAGTGGGGCATCTGCTGCTCCTGTCCTCCCGCTCGCACGCAGAGGAAGCCGGAACCAGAGAGAGCCTGGCCTAGAAGCTGCCGCAATTGTCACTGAAAATAGCTATGTCATTACAGGGAGTAAACATTTCAGGGAGCCGGGGTGAATATGGATAGATAACTTACATGACTGGGAAGTACTTACACGGAAAAGCCTCCCGCTCCCCTTCCAAATAAGGTGGGCTGAACATCAGGAGCCTACCCAAGGGGCAGATCTGACACAGGAAGTGGCTGCCCCTGAGCAAGCGGCAGAGCTCACTTGTTGCTACCTGGTTGGTTGCTATGTACCCCAACACCCAGGGGCGGCAAAATGGCTGCTGTGTCAGAAAGAGGAAGTCACCCGGAAATGCAGATGCCAAGATCATCAACTTGCTCAGGCAAACTGCTTGCAGGGCTTGTACCTAAGTGTGAGCTGTGAGGGACGCTTGTGCCACCCCCAAAATCTCCCAGTTCCAGCTGAGTTGCTGTCCTTGACTTAGCAGTGACCCAACACAGAGCCTGGAACAAATCTAGGACCTCACGTACACTTACTGACTGATGCTGAATTTCAGAGCCACCAGAATCCCATTGTAGATACCCAACCCTTTATTTAAAAAAAAAAAAAAGCTTCAAGATCTTCATGGCGTCCCAACTCATTCATTTATTGATGCAACTACATGGAGTGCATTCTATATAGTATGAACACAGTTGCCCCTCAGCCTTCTGTTTAACATCGAGCATGGTGTGATATTGAACCCTCATATCCAGTCCCACACACTTAGGGAACCTACGAGGGAAAAATAAACGTTCATCAAATAATAGCAACCTGTCCCGCAGCCGTCCTTGAGACTACAAAGAACATAGAGTTGAGCTCAAGAGAAGGATGTCCAATACAAAGATCAGCAAGATGAGCATGAGCACTAACTGGGAGGAGCCACTCCTGCAAGACTCTGTGACAGCTCGGGGACATAGCCCACGCCAGGATCCCCCAGAGAGGCAAGTTCACAGGGAATCCGAGGGTGAGAGTCAGTGCAGACAGAAGGAAGGCCAGTTGGGCCTGGGCAGAACACAGAGCTTCAGGAAGAGAGCTGTGGCTTTATCCTGAGAACAATGTGGAGCCTCTGCAGAGATTTAGATGACAAAGAATGGCATGACAAGAGTTTGGAATGTTGTAGATGCCCTCCCCCCCCCCGTAGGACAATGGGGCAATAGCAGGAACGTGTGCACAGTCAAAAGGCTGCAATAGAACAGGAGGCGGCAAGAGGGAATTTGCAGATGAACCAAAGAGGTGGCTTAGAGTATAGGGACTGCGGGCAGAAGCTAGTGATCGGCTGAATGTGGGGAGGGAGTGGGGAAGGAGTGGGCTTGGCTGAGCTTCTGGCTTCGAGGCTTTTACATGATACGGTTGTCACTTAAGGGGCACAGCTCTGGAAATATGAGATGTTTTGTTCTAGACATGCCCAGAATAAGTCAGTACACAGCCGGGCAGCGCTCTGCCCTCATCCAGACCATAGAATTTGGTTCAGGTTTCAAATGTCAGCCGGGTTGGTGGCTCATGCCTTTCATCCCATCACTCGGGAGGCAGAGGCAGGCGGATCCCTGTGAGTTCGAGGCCAGCCTGGTCTACTAGAGCGAGTTCCAGGACAGCCTCCAAAACAATACAATCCGATGCATAAGTCATCTGCCTCTGCACAGTAATTTGAAGATATTCTTGGCTAAGGGAATCACCTATCAATCACTATACGTAGAGGGTTTCAACCCCTACTCTCCAGACCCGGGAGCCCTTGTACCTGTGAGCAATAGTGGTAGAAGGCTTATGTCACAGCAACTGAGAAGAAAGGAGGGGCCAAGGTGACCATAGTCCCTTTGAGGACAGATCCCTATGACTAACTTTCTTCCACCAGGCCCTACCTCCTAAAGGTCCCACCATGTTAAGATAGTGCCACCGGCTGGCAGCCTAGAATTTAGCGTATGGGCCTTTCGTTGACATTTGTTTATACCGATCAAACAATGCTGCAAGTATTTCTTGAGCAGTTGAGAGCACTTAGGATGGTGGGCTCTGGGGGTGGCCAGGTAGACTCAAGCATGACTCCCGTTCGCCCAATCACCCATGGCCTCTAGCGGAAGAGAATAAAGGATACTCTCTCCTCTCCCTTCTGGTACTCACAGCCTTCCCTCTGTTCTCTGCCTGGAAACCACTAGAACGAATCTCATTAAGTTCCCTAACCACATAAGCCAATCCCTTAAGAAGCCCTAGATCTTATATCTTATATCTTACTCTTCTTTCTCAATTCCTGAGCCTTCCAGGTGGCTCTGGAGCTCGAAGGCCGTTCTTAGCAAAAAAAAAAAAAAAAAAAAAAAAAAAAAAGAGCACTCCCTCCCTTCCTGCTCTACACTGCCAAGGACACACCTCCTCTGTCGCCCTATCAAGTGGCAGCAATGTCTTTCCACCACAGCCTTTGTGCCACTAGCACAGGCCACGGAACAAATGTCTCTTTGGATCCTCGCCGCCCTGCCTAGACAATTCCGCTTTGTTCCTCCATAATGACTCCCAGCTTTGAACATCATGTCATCCGACCGTGAACTACTGCGTGCACTTGTACAACCCTTTATCACCCTGGGCCACACACCCGCATTTCTAGAGGATTGCCCTGTCCTAGTTGACGGCCGGCCGTTCCTGGTGACCCATCTTGACTTCAGCCAGCCCAAGAGGAGAAAGGAGCGAAAGTCTTATTTTTTGCGTGCGTGTTTGACACATTTCTGGTGGCCACCGCATCACACACTACAGTTCCAAATAGCTGTCGCGCCACTGCCTCCCTCTGAAATTCTAAGCTCCCCTCTGTCCAGCCAGTTTCATTCATCTTCTGATTCCCTCTCTTCTTTTACTTCAATCCAAATAACCCTTGGACCCCAAGATCAGTATTTCCACTTTCAGTCACCATGCCTCTGAATCGGTTCACATGGACAACTGTTAAAGCTGCTCTCCTGAACCTGCTCTCAGACCCCTTGTGCCTCTCCCTTCCTCTTCGGTTCTTGCAAAACCCAGTCCTGGGTCAGGACTCCTCTCTACTACCATGCCTGTGCCTATGCATTCCAGCAGGCTCGGGGAAAATACACGGACCTTATGGCCCGTCTAATTTGAGGATTCATGACAATGAACTTCAAGTGGCCCTCGGCAGTTAGTTCCGCTCCCTGGTGAGCATCCCAGTTTTCATGTCCATTTACTTGCCCGGTCTCTAGGAAGACTTGGAGACATCATCCTTAACTGACTTATCCTTCTTCCGCCTCATGTACAGCGGATAGCCTTGCTTCTGAGGAAATCAAGCTAATTGGAAGATCTTCCCCAGCCACACCCCCTTCCCACATGTACGCCAAAAGCGTTCCTTGGACTCATCTATTCTTTCTGTTCCAACAGCATAGGAAAGATACAAAATTCACCATGGTATTAACAGTTTCAGCATCATTCAAAAGTTAGAAGTCCAGGTCTGGTGGCAGCCACCAAGTAAGCCAAGATGGGTGAATACAAATGCATCCCAGAGCTTCAGTAGAAGGGTCAGATGTGATGACCTTTTTCTGAGAGTCTGCAGGTAGCACCTCTCTGCACTGCACAGGGCTCCCCACTTCACCCAGCCAGATAAAGCAGGCAGGCTGGGATACAAGGCCTAGCAAGGTTATGGCATGTGTGGGATCCATGTTCCCCATGGTGGCTACAAATGCCCAGTTCCTAAGGCTGTATATGGGGTTCTTTAAGATTGTCTTCGTTGATCCATTGTGTAAAGCTATCAGAAGAAATCCAGACACCCGATGGATCACCAAACAAGTTCACAGGCACCAGGACATATGTGGGCTGCCATCTGAACAAAGGATGCAGAAGTCTTGGCCTTATAAAGGGCCACAAGCTCCACCATATTATTGGTGGGTCTCACCACACAGACTGGAGAAGGTTCAATACTCTCCAACTCTACCATCTAATAATACACACGATGTTTGTAAAATCCATACCCACCAAGCCATTCAGGGCAGTCAAAAGAAAAGCAAAAGTTCAAAGCACTTTTGAGACTCAAAGTCTCAATCAAACTTAACATAGTTAAAAGGAGAATTGGATACTTTCGATCCTATAATGACAAATAGTGAACATCCCCATTTCACACAGGAGGGAGGAACGGGGTAATAGCAAGAAAGGGTTGGACCAAAGCAAGACTGAAACTCAGCAGGGCAACCATCAAGCCTTGTATCGCTATGAGGCGGTCAGGGTTTGTGGTGGCATGGTGTGGGCTCCACAGCCCATGATCTGCAGCATCCTGGAACCTTTCTCTTGGGCTGGCTACACTTGGTACATGCAGCTTTCCCCTGCACATGGTCTACATACCTGGCATCTCCAACGTCTTAAGAGTCTCTACTGTTGCTTAAGTATAGCCCTCAAAGTTTTACACATTGACATCTTAGGGCCTTCTGGAAGGAAATCTGACTGCACACTATCTAGCCTCATGGATTGTTTGTTTTTGTTTTTGTTTTCTTCTTTCTGGAACCTTGGCTCAAGCCTCCTTGTCCCTATTGTCCTTGCTTCCTGCATGTCTTCAAACCAGCAGTGATTAGATAGTACCAAGCCCTCTTGCCAGCTCAAGACTGCCCTCTTCTAGAAATGGCTACAAGCGCTTGTGGCTAACCCTAGGGAGACATTTTCCTGGATAGCTTACATTGGAGGCTCTGTCTTTCCAGGTACTTTATTTTTTAAGTGCATGTTTTTCAAATGAGTTTTCAGTTTAATACCCTGGAGCCTCCCATGGGTTGGGTGGTTCTTCCATCTTGCAAAGTGTCTGGCTTCTCTTTAATTGCATCAGTCTTAACAGCCATTATAGCTGGCTCTCCCTCACAAATCTTGTCTTAAACTTGAAACTTCCTAAACTTCCTCATACTCCTCTGCATACCAAGCTACAGATTTTCCTCATATTTCTGCTCTACTTTCTGTTCCTTGTCACTGAAAAATCTGTGTGAGAGCTGTGAACAATAACCATACCACAGCCTAGTTTCTTGCACTGAATTAATTAGTTTATTACTTTGTAATTAAACTGTTTATCCTGCTGGGTGAGAATAAGATCATTACCATAATTTTGAGTCAAATTTGAAGCAAACCTTAATTAAATACTGGCCAGTATGATGGACTCTGGCCAGGTCCATTCCTGGGTTTACAGAAAATGGCCACGAGTCATATTTTGCAAAGGCTTGAAATCGCAAAACGCCATAAAGCCACCATATTTCCCAGTCAGGGTCAAACACATATCTTGATGTATTTCCTGCTTCTGTTCCTCCCGACTACAGGTGAGCCATCACATCTGGTGCAGATGGG